CCTGTACTGCCTCTTCTCCATCTACGCCGCCTACCACGTCTTCTTCGGGCGCCGCCGCCGGGCGACGGCCGCCAGCTCCCGGGGCTCCAGGAAAGCGGCGGTGCAGGCGAAGGAGAGGCGCGGCCGAGGTAGGGCCGAGGCGGGCTGGGCTGCGGGCCTGAGGCTCGCCCTGAGGCTCGCCCTGGGATCGCTCGGGCCCCTAGGTGAGCTTTCTCCAGCTCGGGGCTCGGACTGGAGGCTCTTCTCACCCCGGTGGCGAGCTTCCTGCAGCAGCCGCCACCCCGTGCACGCCTTTACAGCATGGAGTGGCCCCTCACTCCGCCTCAAAGGCCAGAGAGTTGCAGAAATGCTGCGGGCGAGCCGCAGAGCGCGCTGCGTCTGAAGCAGCTGTCTCAAGTTAAGCATGAGGCTTTCTAGTCATGTGACTTCAGAAGGCCGTGCTTTATATTCCCAGCTCCGAGTCCCATGTGGTATTTTGACCTGTTTTGGAATTGCAGTCCTTTTTCACATCCCCGCTCAGAATTTTTGCACAGTTGTATTAGGACTTTGGGGGAGACAGCGTGCTAAAGTTAAATTGTACTAATAGTTTACATATATAAAAATGGTGAACAATTCCAGAACTAAAACGTGTAGCTTGATATGAGTTCTGCAAGTATTTCCAAAGGTTTGTGGGGAAGACATAATTGTCCTATCTCATGTTTAAAATGAAAATTTTAAACTTTAACAGAGATAGTTCAATAACAAAAATGTTGGTTTCTTTTCTTTTTTTTTTTAATTCTATGCCTCAAGTTCGATTGTCTGCCTCTGAAACTTGAAGGTGAATCTAGTAGTCCACTCTAGCATCTCATTCAAATGACTTGACTTTGTGTCAGCAGTTACTCCTCAGGGGTGAACGCAGTCGCTCTCTTTAAAACAGATCAGTCGGCCCTGGAGAGTGAAGAATGGAACCCTTGGGAAGGAGATGAAAAAAGCGAGCAGCAACACAGAATTAAAACTAGCCTGCAGATGTTAACTAAATCCACAAGAGAAAAAACTGAGCGCAGTATACAAATCTGGGGCAAAGCTGCCATTGGTAAGTTAATGCAAAGAGGGAAGGTATGGGAAGGCAATGTGAAATCTGCACTATACTGGTACTGAATTCACTGGAGTATGTATTTCTTTGTCTAATGAAGATATTTCATGCAAGTACTCCCCTGCTGGTTATTTGCATTCCTTGGTAGATACAGAAATAGACTGTGTAGCATCATTTTATAGTAACTCTTTGCCAACTGAATTTTTATTCATCTGTATAATTAATGGTCACTGTATGTGTGTGAGGGGGGGTACATGGGCTCTGCATTAGTGAGCAGACAATGCTGAACAGGGCAGTGTTCAATAAGGTTCTTCATTGCAAGCCTTTCTCTGTTTTTAATATGCTAATGTTCACTGGGCCCAGTGAGGGAATATAGTATAAAGCTGATTAAACTTAAATGTCATCTGGGGGTATAGCACAGTGTACAGGGTTAACATGTGCAACCCCCCTTAGCTCAATCCCAGCACCAAAAATAAATAAATAAAAACCTTGTTAGTTCACAAGAGCTGCTTTATCGGGAGAATAGTGTTCCAGGATGTACATTATGTTCAGTTAGTGAGTGAGGCCCTCAGTGACTGAGATTTTATAGATACAGATATAATTTACAGTGTATGACATTGAAACTGTGATAAACATTTGCACTGTGAAATTGTCAGCTGGCTATCCATCATATAACATACTTATTTTTGGTGAGAACACTTAAAATTTAATCTCTCAGAAATATCAAGTATACAATATAGTATTCATAAGTATAATCATGATACTGTACATTAGATCTGCAGAATTAATCCATCCTGTATTAATGAGACTTTATACCCTTTGATTGACATTCCTTCATTTTATATAACCCCTCTTCCTTCTGCTTTTTTGGCCTTTGAGCATGAGTTGGACTTATTTACAGTAAGAGATATAATTGAAAGTAAGTACAAGATGAGAAAAGGGTAAATAGCATAGTGCTTGGCTTGTGGTATTTTCATAAATTTATTTATGATTAATTACAGTAAAGATAATCTTAAAGATTACTACTGAACTCTGAACTTCAAATAGCTCCTCCTGGATTTGTAATGTACTCAATTTTAACAGTTTTTGAGGGATTTTTTGCTGGTAGTGTTTTTTCTGTTGTTGTTTAATTTTAAATTAAATACTAATTCCTTCTTGTAAGTCTCCATATTCTCATTCTACTTTGAATTTTACAAATGAGCAGGTTTTCATGTTTTCAGACTCTTTTAGATCCAGTAAGCATCATAGTGGTCATTGAACTTTATCAGACACTCCTATCATCAGCATATACCCCATATGGTCATAATAAACCAGTTACAGAATTCCCATTAAAAGTGGAAAATGGGCATAAAACAGAGTCCTTGGTCCAAACACTTTGGGAACTGAGGCAAATTCCATGAGATTTTTCTACCTAGGGTGATTTCGGGCACAGTTTTGCCTTCTGTTTCCTCAGCTCTACCTTTGGAGCCATCCTCCCTTTTGCATGAAGAATATCATGTTTGTAGCTCAGTAGATTTATTAGCCTTTTCCTGCCGGTAGAATTATTGAACCACATGGACTTCATTCGTTTCAGCCTCTCTGTCGCAGTTGATCTAAGTTGGCAGAATTCCTGATAGCGTAGCATTCTTTAAATTTTGAAGGTCTTTTGTACATTGTCACAAGGATTCACTCTATTAGACATGGAACTTCCCCACATATCTTTCCTGGATAGTCCCTTCTCTGTTTCTGGCATCTACTAAGGTGGCTAAGGAAATCCACAAATACATGCATAATCTCTTCCAAAAGCCTCTTGTGCTGATAAATATTTTAATTTTGTTTGAGGCACTAACAAAAAGCTAGTTACAGCCAGCACATCCTTGAATTCTCCAGAGCATGGTTTCCTGACAGTCAATGTGCTTTATCATCTTTTAAAATCTGAGTGGTCCAAAACTTTCCCATTGTCAAATCCTATCTTGTTGCTTAACAGTTCATCTCTCAGTCTCTCTTTCTTTCCTCTTGTATTTTACTATAATCATTAAAAAAAAAAATACAAAAAACAGACATTTAGTACTTTGCTTAGCTATCTCTTCAGAGAAATACCCAAGTTCATCAATTATAAGTTGGGACACAGTTTGGCTAAGTTTGTGGCTCTTACACAACACAGGTCCTCTTGCATCATTTCTAATAACAGTCCACATTTCCTTACATGCCCAGCCAACCTTTAATATGCATGTTCTACCAACAGCCAGCATGTGACAGTCTGCGTGTTCTTAAGACAGTGTAGGCTTTCTCTGCTGTGGCCCTCACTCTCACATGAGTCTTTCTCACTAAATGAACTGTGAGCAGCTGCATTTTTCTGCATTCAGTTTGAGGCATTCTAGTGTAGTCTTTGTTTAAAATCACGTTCTTCCAAATTCTTCCAGCCACCCCCATTTCCCTATTTCAAAGCCACTTACACACTTTTAACTGTTTGCTGCAGTAGCACCTCACTTCCAAATACTATATCCTGCCCACTTAACATGAAATTTTCTATGACTGCTGTAACAAATACCATATTTCATGACTCAAAACATTACAACTTTATTTCCCACCTTTCTCGGTGAGGTGGGGGGCATTCAGATGTCTCTGGAAGACTTTCCATCTTAGCACCTTAGACACACTGAGATACTCTTGCTGTGCAAGATAATATTCACAGGTTCTAGAAGATTAAGATATGGACATGGAGAAGCAGGGCCTTATTCAGCCTGACATGTTTGGAAGCTCTATCTGATTGCCCAAATTTTAAATTTGGTTGTTAGAGTGACTTTAGTAACATGGCATCATGGAAGTAGAACAAAATGCATCTTTCAGTATATTAATATGTACTGCTGATCTTGTCCATTCGTAAAGCTTTCATTCAGATGAAAGCAAGGTAAAACACCATGGTTGTCCTAAGGAGAAAGGATGAAGTGTCTCATTTGTCTGCAGAGGAGAACATGCATTCAAGGATGTCTGATCAAATGGGGAAGGAATATCCCCTTGACGTACTGAATATTTGGGTATACTGATGAGCTCCTGTGGCTTCAGCACAAAACGTTTAGTCCCTCCAGTTACAATATTCTAATAATGATGGTAATTTAGTTTATAACAAACATTTTTTTTTTCAGAATATGATGGGCAGTAAGGGTTCAGTAACATTAGGGGTTCCTAAGTATAAAGGAAAAGATTCTGTTATCATTACTACAACCCACTTTTAACACCCACTGAAGTCTGTCCCTCATATTTTTAGTTGCTGTATTGACGACTGAGGTTTTGCTTGGTAGCATTTGCTGCCAGCAGACCATGGCAGGAAACCTTTAGGCTCGTAGTCAAGATAAAAAGGAACAAAACATACATTTCTCAGACATACTAAAATGGATAAGGCAATAGATGTTTCTGTTTTTCTCTTTTGTTACCAGGTTTGTATCTCTGGGAACATATTTTTGAAGGCACTCTTGATCCCACTGATGTGACTGCTCAATGGAGGGAAGGACAGTCAATTGTAGGAAGAACACATTACAGGTATCAGTTGGACAGCATTAACCTTGTGTTGCTATATGATGTTTTATGTAACTACTAGAGGAAAACATACTTTGGGGGGGTGTGGTTCATGACGTGGTTTCTCTGTGGCTTTGGAGGCTGTCCTGGAACTAGCTCTTGTAAACCAGGCTGGTCTCAAACTCACAGAGATCTGCTTGCCTCTGCCTCCCGAGTGCTGGGGCTAAAGGCGTGCGCCACCACCACCACCCGGCTCGGAAAACATACTTTTATACATCTTTCCATTTCAGCTTGGAAAAAACATAAACAAATCTTGTGAATGTATTCATAGCTCAAGCTTCATTAAATATTTTCTTATTAAATTGAACATTACAAAATAATTTTGGAGGGAAAGCTGGTACAGTGACAGAGCATTTGCTGGCCATGCAAGATTTTATGTTATCATCAAAAAACAGTGCTATTTCCTCTTAGAGAACTTTGTATTCAAGTGCTATAACAGATTTTTAAAATATCTTATTAAATCAAATGAAAAGTAATATATAATTTATCCAAAATTAATAAACTCCTGGAAGTGCAGGTAGTAAGCTCAATCAAGTTATGTAGGTATTTACTTAAATGAATTTCAAAAATATGTTGTTTGCATAGTCATTTAGGATTTAAATGATTTCTCTGGGCTCTCTGTATTGAAGTATTTACTCTGAAGACATTTTTCAGTTAAGGCAAGCAGGAGAAAAAAAATATATTGAAAATTATAAGTCTTGATGCTTAGACATATGCTGTTACCTACAAGAGCAAATTATCTTTTAGAATTCTACACATGAATTCTTTATCTATGATTATTCTTCAGCTAATGGATTTTCATGATAGAGGCTTCAATGATAACCTTAGTTAAATAAAGCATAGCATTCATCCTGTGTGTTATACTAAGTCATACATAAGCTCTATGTATAGTAGGAAAATTCAGCAGTTTCCATAATTTCTTGTTTTAAATGCAGTAGCAAGGAGCTAGAAATATAGCTCATTTAGTAGAAGGCTTACCTAAAATGCACAGATTCTAGGCTTAATTCCCAACACCACATAGACCAAGGAGTGGTAGCACACTTTATTGCCAGCACTTTGAAGGAGGATCAGAATTCAAGGAAAAGTGAGGACAGTTCATACTTACCTCCCTTAACTACATGCTCAAGTGTTATTTACCCATTCTCGGGCAGAGCCTTTACCCATCACAAGCACTCTGTGAGGTGATCTTTCCTAGTCCTAGGTATACGTTCCCTACATCTGTGTACGCCATCTTTGTCTAAGACTGTTCTTTCCAAGACTTTCCTTTATTCCACCTGCAGTCATTTCCTTTCTGTCCTCATCCATACCTTCAAAACAGTTGTCCACACTCACTGTTTGTTTCCCAACTTCTCATTCCTTTGCACTTTGATGAAAGATCAAAATACTTGAGTGGCAAAGTTTGTTTGGGGCAACATATGACAATGTGAGTTATGGAGCATGTCTAGTCCTTTTATGAAAACTTAAAAAATGCATTGCAAACAAAGAATTATAACATACTCCTACTTGCTAACCACTACACAACATATTTCAACTGTCATGAGTTCTTTGTTTAACTTTCCTCTTCAAAGAAATGTTTCCAATAAAAGAAGACATTTCTTTGTTTCCTAGCCCTTTTGTTCTTCATTCTTCAGGAAGAATTGCTGTTAGGAGCTTGGTGTATGCTCTCACTCAGGTTTTTATATTTCTACTGATAGAAGGTATATAAGTATTTTTTCCAATATGTACTTTCATATTTACATAAAATTGCACTTTAAGGGCTGGCAAGATGGTAAAAATGGTTGCCCTGAAGCTGGACAACCTGAATTCAGCTCCAAAACCTGTGTGGTGGAAGGAGAGAACCAGCTCCTACAATTTGTTCTCTGGCCTCCACACACACACACACACACAACCTTGGTACACATGCACACAAACTCTTTTAATTATGTGTTAAGAATACCCTGAACTTGATGTTTCCCTTTACATTATATTCCGATGCCTTGTCTTCAGTGAAGAAATGAGAATCCCACATATTCCATTCTCGTATACTAGTTGAATTTTGTATCCAAACCTTTCTAGTGGTCTATAACCCTGTACCAGACTTATTTAGAAGAACTGGTATTATACAAATTTCATTTCTAAAGAGACTACAAATTGAATATCATTTTGGATTTTATAGAAAGTGATTGAAATTATCCTTTGTTCAGTTTTGTTTATCTCTTTTTTGTGGTATATTGTTTTCTACAGCTTTATCACTGGCCCAGCTGTACTTCCAGGGTACTTCTCCATAGATGTGGACAATGTGGTACTTGTTTTAAATGGAAGAGAAAAGGCAAAGATCGTCCATGCCACCCAGTGGTTGCTTTATACACAGAATTTAATACAAACCCAAAAACTGCAGCATCTAGCTGTTGTCTTGCTTGGAAATGAGCACTGTGACAATGACTGGATACTGAAGTTCCTCAAAGGAAACAGAGGCTTTGTGGACCTGCTTTTCATAACATATGACAGCCCCTGGATTAATGGTGCCGATGTTCTCCAGTGGCCTTTAGGTGTAGCAACGTAAGTATTAGATAAGATGGTGCATCTCTGGACTCCAAAGTCTAATGTTCTGAATCAGAAACATGGAGTTCTAAATGGCAGTGGGTTTACACATGATAAGGCCAGGGGAAATCTTTCCTGGGGCCAATAAAAGTGTGGTCTCATGCCTCAGTGACAGTAGTGACAGGTTTTTGTTATTACTGTTTTGGGAATATTTTACCCTCCTCTGAGGAGACCTGATGGGTACTTTTTTTGTCTTAAAATGAATATAGGATAAATATGCTTATTGGTGTCTTAAAGAGATGTTTAACAGAACAAAGATAGAGCCATAATTCCTAGTAAAAGCAAATACTTTTGTGGTGATATTTCATGTAGAGAATATACTTGTGATTAGCTGACTTTATGTAAATCTCAACTATAAAAGCAAAGATTAATTCTTTTAAGATCATCAGTATGTAATCATCCCCCAGCTTATAAATTTGGAAAACTTTTTTATAGCTTTCTGTGAATAGATTAATAGTAAGCAAACTTTAATCTAGGCTCCCATTAGTATATAAACTTTCTGAGGGCGGGAATTTTCTTCACTGCTCTAAAAGTGTGTATGAAGGGCTACAGTGATGGCCCAGCAGTTAAGAATACTTGCTACTCTTATAGTGGACCCAGGTTCAGTTCCCAGCACCAACATGGTATATCGTACAGCTGTGTATGATTACTGTTCCAAGGGATCTGACACCCTTTTCTGAACTCTGTGGGTACATGGCTATACGTGGAGGGACGCAGGCATACACATATACACATAAATGAAAAAAATTAAATAATGCTGATACACTGTAGGTACTCATTTGTTGAGTAAATGAATCATCTCACTGATAGACTTAAATCAGACATTCATTATGTCACTGGTTACCACCATTTGTAGCCTCAGTTTTACCTCTATTTAGCTACACAGATGTCACCAGAGAAATGCCAGTAACACATTCCCACCCCTACATGTACAGCATTCCAGTTAAATAGGTTTGGACTAGGACCTGCCTTAAAATTTCAAAGACTTGTCAAGTACACCACTTTTAAGACTTTCAAAAAAATCTATTGCTTGAGAAGAGCCTATATTTATAAAAATGTTTTTACTTTTTTCCACAATGTATGAGATCACCTATTTGTATAATGGAAGATAGAAACATAGTAATTCTGGTATTGCCAGATTCATCCTGTTCCCAGTGAGGAAAGATTCAGTACCAACTGGAAACTTTTGGTTGTCTTAACTAGAGAGGAAGTTGTCACAACTGCTATTAAATGAGTAGATCCCAGGTATCTTAGTGTTCTGTTGCTGTGAAGAGATGCCATCACCACAGCACCCCTTACAAAAGAAATCATTTCATTGAGACTGGCTTGCAGTTCATAGGTTTAGTTCATTATTATCATAGCAGGAAGCATGGCAGTGTGCAGGCAGACATGTGCTGGAGAGGAGAGAGAGTTCCACATCTTGATCCAAATATCAGGAAGTGAACTGAAACATACTTTCTCCAACAAGGCCACACCTTCCAATAGTGCCACTCCCTTTGAGCTTTTTGGGCTCAATTACATTCCAACCACCACACTAGGGATGCTGTTAAACATGCTATTATGTACAGTACTCTACAAACAAAAATTTATGTGACCCAAAATGCCATAATGATCTCGTGTACAGTGTAGTCAGCCTCCTATATATGGTATACAGGTTTTATTTGTTGTTTGTTTTAATATGCTTGCAAATTCCTTGGAATTAAGTTTTCAGAGCTCATGACTATAACAGTGTATTTTCTTATTAATGGATAAATGATGGTTATATATGTCTGTGATGTATAGTGTGTTTGGAAATCATATTTTAAATGTCCTTACTATACATAAACTAACAAGTCAGGTTGTAGGATGGTTCTACCATATAGTAATTTAGTGCTTGTTTTATAGATACAGGAAGTTCCCTGTGGTTGAAGCCACCTGGTCAATGCTGCATGATGAGAGGCCCTACATATGTAATTTCTTAGGAACTGTCTATGAAAATTCATCAAGACAAGCATTAATGAACATTTTGAAACAAAATGGAAGTGAGAAACTTTGTTGGGTTTCTGCAAGAGAACAGTAAGTTCTATGCTTGCATGGTTCCTCCCTGTTGCTCTCCAGTCTGCATATCACTTTATGTACAAATAGATTTCCAGAAAAATCACTAGTAACTGCTTATTCTACTGTCCTATCAGAAGCCATAGTAGTAACTAAAATGGAAGAAACTGGCTCTTCTCCCATCTTTTGCAAGTAATCAGGAAGGAGGTATTGATAGAGTAACAAAAGTCATTTTGCTTTTTTTTTTTTTTTTTGCTTTTAAATAAACACAGAGTATAAAGCAGAGTGGCCAGGGAACAAATGCCTTAAAAATATGCTTCTAGACCTAGAAATGTAGTTTTTAATTGTGACAGAAACTGCCTTCTAGATGGATGTCACTACTATTAATGTAACTATATTAAATTCATCCACTCAACAGTTGCTAAACAACTGTCAGTATGCCAGAATGTATCCTAGATAATGTCAACAGTGAAAAACAAAACAATGAATGTTCCCTCATAGCACTTAAATGTTTGTCAAAGGACACAAGTAAACATAGCGTGTGTCAGAAGATGATAATGTTGTGTAAAAAAAGAATGAAGCAGAAGAAGACCATGCAGAGGACTGGGTGTGAAGAGGAGAGCATTGGTTTCAAGTAGCCCAGGAGAGTACCAGATAAAGGGAGGGCTACATGAAACACAGGCCCAAAGGAGGAGCAGGGTCAGCCATGTATTGGTGTGGGACAGCAGTGCCTATGTAGAGGGAGAAGCAAAGACAAAAATCATAAGGCAGGAGGGTGCTGACCACAACAGGCTGGTGTGAGTGAGTGAATGAGGAAAGAATAATAGAGGAAAGGCTTACTGGAGGAATAATGCTAGTAAAATGGTTCTCATTGCATTGAGCTAGAGGTCAAGTAGTACCCTCTATGCTCTTGCTGCTTCTAGACCATTCTGCTCTTCCCTCCCAAAACCCCAGTTCTTCAGTCTCATGCCAGCATGAGTAACTGTTACCGACATTCTCTGCAGCACTGAGCCTTGGGCTTTTACCACCCTGATTCCTTAACAAATGTTGCACCTGTGCCCTGTCACTCCAGCTGACACCGGTCTTGTCTTAATTCTTGGTGATTCCTAAAGCTAAGTAGGCAGTCTTTCCTTTACCTCAGTCTGCAGTTCCTCTCCTTCATAGACCTAGGCCTCGAGCTAACCTCAGCCATTTCCTATCGTGGTCATTTCCTAAATGACCACTTGCATTTCATAAACACAAGGTCTCACCATGACCTCAAAGTCCAGCATTTTCCTTGGTAGCCACCCTATCCTGTCATTCCAGTTCATTCCCTATAACCTGACTCCACAACTCAGCTGGAATTTACAACCTATTGTTCTTATTATCCTGTGGTTGTGGTTATCTTCTAATCCCTGTATTCACTTATGTGTTACACAGGTTAATTTTACAATCAACCATCCCTGAATATACATTCACCTTCCTCATCCTGTTAAATCCCAATGGTTAGAATAAAACCACTACCACAATTTGAGCCAAATTTGAAGCATACTTGATTTTTTTGGGGGGTGTACCCAAGAGCTGGCTAGAGACTGCCTCCTAAGTCAGACTAAAGAGAACAGCTCTGAGTCTACCTCTTAGGCCCCTTTTAGGGAGTAAAATGACAAGTAGTCACAAGAGTTTACAGAAGGGAGACAATGGGACAGTAGGGAAATGCAAAAAAAAAAAAAAAAAAAAAA